CATTCTACGTCCTTGTGCTTTAACCAAGATATTTATGTTCTTACTTTTCTAAGTTCTTTCGCAAGCAACTTCTTCTCTCTTCTTTATTTGGACTTCCTCTTTTCCTTTGTTCTCCATTGCCTTTACCTATTTAGAAAAGTTGTGGGGGTTTTTTTGAGACAGAGTTTTGCTCTTGTTGCCCAGGTCAGACTGCAATGGTGTGCTCTTGGCTCACCACAATCTCTGCTTCCCAGGTTCAACCGATTCTCCTACCTCAGACTGCCGAGTACCTGGGACTACAGGTGTGCACCACCATGCCCAGCTAATTTTTAAAATATTTTTAGTAGTGACAGGGTTTCACCATGTTGGCCAGGATGGTCCTGATCTCTTGACCTCGTGATCCACTCACCTGGGCAACTCTAAGTGCTAGGATTACAGGCATGAGCCACTGCACCCAGCCTAGAAAAGTTTTAAGTTGTTAGCCAATCAGGTTCAGTTTAGATTGTGAGGTCTGGCTCCAACCAACAGAGATCAGCCGCAGCAATAAGGACCCAATGCATAAGGAATAAGTATGTCTCCCTTTCCTTTGTTCACTGTACTCTCATGGCAAGATGGCTAATAGGAGCACCCTTTCTGCAGAAAGTAAAATTGCTTTGCTGAGAAAACTTTTTGTCTGAAAGCTAATTTTTCCTTGCAGTACCTAGGAAAAAACATTGTCTCTAGTTGTCTATAGTTTAAAAAAAAAAGTGGGTAGGTAAAACATTGATTTTTTTTTTTTTAATTCTAAGGTTTAAAGTACTATTCTTTTTTTTTTTGGAGAGCAATGGCAAAATCTCAGCTCACTGCAACCTCCACCTCCCAGGTAGCTGGGATTACAGGCACCTGCCACTTCACCCAGCTAATTTTTGTATTTTTAGTAGTATAAGGTCCACCATGCTGGTCAGGCTGGTGTAGAACTCCTGACCTCAGGTGACCCACCTGCCTTGACCTCCCAAAGTGCTGAGATTACAGGCAGGAGCCCCCACACCCAATCTATTTGGTCTTTCAGTCTAAGTACATGTATTATTTTGATAAATGTAAACATGTAAGTAATAACCTAAACCAAAACTATAACAAAACTTCAACTATATCAAAACATAAAACCAACCTAGATTAATCTACCTAATTGAACCTTCTAACAGTGCTCCACTTTTGTTTTTAAATTGGGGAGAGAAATTTAGAGAGTATCTTTAGCAACCAAAAATCATCAAAGTATGATTTTGATCACAGTTTGTTTTCCTTTTGTAGAGATGAAATCTCACTATGTTGCTCAAGCTGGTTTCAAACTCCTGGGCTCAAGGGATTCTTCCACCTCAGCCTCCCAAAGTTCTGGGATTACAGGTGTAAGCCACTGCAGCCAGCCCATCATATGCTTTTGAAAATTCATGGAACCCAGTGTTTGGGTATAAGCTTTAGAGTCAAAAGACCTATGTTCAAATCCTGATTCAATTGGGCAAGTTACTTTTTCAAGTCTAGTTTTCTGATCTATAAAATGATGTTTGGAAAACTGGGTGAAATAATACATAAGTATTTGGCATGGTGCCTCACAGTTACTAGAACTTGATAAATGGCAGCTGCTATGACAGCAATTATTACTATTTACTACTATTATTACTATTACTTGCTTATTTTCCCCCCAACCAAAATTTGCCTAAAACATTCTAGAATGAGCTTCTCCAACTGGTGGCCCCAGCCCAGGACAGCTCTGATGCAGCTCAACACAAATCTGTAAACTTTCTTAAAATGTTATGAGATTTTCTGCACTTATATTTTTTAGTGCAACAGCTATCATTAGTGTTAAGTGTATTTTATATGTGGCCTTCTTCCAATGCTGCCCAAGAAAGCCAAAAGATCAGACACCCCTGTTCTAGAAGAAATAAGAACCTCAGGCTACTTCTCCAACGGCTTTGAAGACTTCTATGTTTGCCTTAGCATGCTGAATTTCACACCACTCCACTACTTAATTCAACATTTCACTATTTCTTTCCTAGAGCAAAACTGAATGCATAAACTAAAACACATCAGATAAAACACCAGCCCTAGCTGTTGGTCTCTAAAGAATAAAATACCAACAAACTAGCTACAGAATAACATTTTTATGATAATAAACCCTATACAAAGCTTTAAAATATAAGCCATATTGAACAATTCGGATTATTTTAAATTTTGATTCGTTATCTCTTTGAAAGCACTGAGTGGAAACAAACCACAGGTGGACAAAAAATACTGCCTTTGGAATCTGTGAGTTCTAAGCCTGAAGGTTACTTTGACTTCTGTTCACTGGTATGACCTTGAGCAAGATTCTGAACTTCTCTAAGCCTCAGTTTTCTTACCTGAATGACAAGGCACAAACAATTACTTACACATAACCAATGGGGTTATTGTGACAATTAAAGGAGATAATGTCCAAATAGCCCTGTAATAGATGGCCCAAAAGTGAAACTGGCCAGTCACAGTGGCTCACACCTGTAATCCCAACACTCTGGGAGGCCGAGGTAGGTGGATCACCTGAGATCAGGAGTTCAAGACCACCCTGACCAAACACGGTGAAACCCCATCTCTACTAAAAACACAAAAATTTAGCTGGGCATGGTGGCACACACCTGCAATCCCAGCTACTTGGAGCCAGAGGCAGGAGACTCCCTTGCACCCAGGAGGCAGAGGTTGCAATGAGCCAAGACAGCGCTATTGCACACCAGCCTCAGAAACAGGGGCGAAACTCCGCCTCAAAACAAAACAAAATAAGTGAGAACTGCTACAACTACATGTCTATTTTCTTCCAAGAGCTGGAATTCAGGTTTAACTGTCTACAACTAACTCCTGAGGATATCCCAGTTCCCTAGCTCTCTTTAGCTGTAAAATGGCTTCCTTATGAAAAAGGAAAAAAATTCATCTCTGTTCTTCAAGGACAATAATGGACAGTCAAAGAGATATCCCAGGAACATTCCAAAACAGAAGGGAAAGAAGGGTTGGGTGACCCACCATCATGTAGAAGTCAGTTTCTATGTGGCATTGGCCACTTCCAGCTGGGAACCACTTCTTGACAACAAGCCTAATAATACAAGCGCAATCAAATGGCAGACAGGCCAAGAAAGCAAAGAGGCAAGAAAGTCCAACTTTCCATTTCCATCATCCCCTGGGGGAACAAATATACAACCAATAAAACAACTGGGTCAATTAGCCCCCACTTTGGGAAGCTTTTTCATAATCTGTTTTGCAATTTGGAGTAGCTACTGTCATTAATAAGGTAATTCTTTAATCTCTTGAGACATACAGTAAGACAGAAGGCAGGCAGAGGAAAGGAGAAAAATATTAATGCAAGCTGAGAAGCATAAGCAAAGCTTTCAGAAAGAGCTGAGAGAAACCTCCACCTTCCCAAGGAGTAACACCACAAGAGTCTCTGTCCTTTCTCTATCACTGCTGTACACATTTAATCAACTCAGTCCTTGAGACTATCAGGAAATTTACTTACAGAAGGTACCAATGCCGTTAAAATATAATGCTAGCAAAGAAGTGCTGTCAGACTGTAAGTTCTTTTCTGTAGCCTTCTTCAATAAGCATTTACTGACCACCTACGAAGTGCCAAACACTATGCTGTCTACCAGGGAAACGCTGCAAACAGTTTGATTCCTGTCCTCAGAAGAGCAGCATGTGAGTCGAGTAAAGGGATAACCACCACAGAGTAAACACCAGGCACGAAGGAAGCCCAGACAATATCCAGCCAACCAGCCCAGGGTTAGGAACTTTCTGGACCTAGGAACACTCCTGAGCACCACAACTAAAGCGGTCACAGCAGTATGCCCACACCCCCACAGGTCCTTAGGCAGTCACACCCACTGCGCGGGCACAGATGCACAACTGTGTCTGTGCATACATGGTTTGGTCACTAGTGTATTCAACAAATACTGAAGGCCATACTAAACAGGCAGTTAGCAGTGCCTGCTCGGGTTCTAATTCCTCATGTGACTTCGGACAAGTCACTTCCTGAATTGGCACTGGTTCTACCAAAGGCCACAGACGACCTTGAAATATTCCTCCCCCTTAGCTGTCAGCCCTCCTCCCTCGGCGGTGGTTCCACCCTTTCCTAAGCACTAAAAATGTAAAGGCTGAGACCATGAGTCAGTAGTATCATTTTGAATTCACCATGTTCCCCTACATTTTTAAGTGACCGCTGCACTTCATTCCTTTCCTCCACCCACCCTGAAACATCGTAAATTTACTATTCGCTCATTTATGAAGCCTTTTCTAGTGTGAACCGATCTACATTTGAGATTTAAGGTGTTGGGGGGGGGCGGGGAATCTCTATGCTGACACGAAATAAAAATCCCTGACCTCCGGAGTTTTCAACCTAGCTGAGTTAACAGAATCAAACATGAAGACAGGTGTCGAACATAACGTACACCGAACACCTAGGAGTAAAGACACTGCAAGGCCGAGAGCTGGAGAAATGCGGCGGCGGAAGGCCGCCCCGCGAGGGTAAAGCCTCAGTGCCCCTCAGCTTAAGGAGCGGGGAGACCTCTGCGCAGGAGAACTGAGAAGGCAAGTTCCCTGCAGCAGATCGGGTGCCGAGAGACACCAGGCGGCGGGGCCGCAGCAGGTCCTGACAGTCGGACCCGTGGGACTCTCCCGAGGGGCCGGAAAGGATGCGAGGCGGAGGCTGCAGCCGCGAAGGCGGGCGTCCGCGGGGCCGCGGGGAGAGGGACGCCGGGGGAGCGAGCGGAGGGGCGGGAGAGGTGCGGGGCCCACGGGGAGGGCTTGCTGCTGGGCGGCTCTAGGGGAGGCTGAGAGGGCGGACCCGGGGAAGGGGGCGGGTCAGGGCCCCGGGAGGTGGGAGGGCCTGCGGCCAGGCGCCTCAGAGGAAATTAGGGAGCGGGATCCCCTCGGAGGGGCGCGAGGCTGGGCGGCTCTAAGGGAAAATGTGGAGGGGTACGGGCAGGAGGGGGAAGGGGCTAGAGTAGCTTGGAGCAAACCCAGACATTCACCTGCGAACCAGAGTGAAGAACGCTACGACGCCGCGGAGGTTCCTCGCCTTCAACAGCCGCACGTTCGGCGTCCCGGTCGCCGCTCTGACGTCACGCCGCGGCGCGCATGCGCGGGGGCCGGCGGCTGGTGGGGCGGGGTGTCTGGGTGGTTTCCAGGAGAAACGGGAGGGGAGAAGGCAGGGGGCGTAGGGATCCCCGGAGGTCGGCGCTTCTACCAAAAGGAGGTGTTACAGAGTGAGGTCCCGCCTTTAAAAAATAAAAGACTTAGAGGCCGGGCTCGGTGGCTCAAGCCTGTAATCCCAGCACTTTGGGAGGCCGAGGCGGGTGGATCACGAGGTCGAGAGATCGAGACCATCTTGGTCAACATAGTGAAACCCCGTCTCTACTAAAAATACAAAAAACTAGTTGGGCGTGGTGGCGCGTGCCTGTAATCCCAGCTACTTAGGAGGCTGAGGCAGGAGAATTGCCTGAACCCAGGAGGCGGAGGTTGCGGTGAGCCGAGATCGCGCCATTGCACTCCAGCCTGGGTAACGAGAGCGAAACTCCGTCTCAAAAAATAAAAATAAAATAAAAAATAAATAAAAATAAAAGACTTAGGCCAGGCACAGTGGCTCAAGCCTGTAATCCCAGCACTTTGGGAGGCCGAGGCGGGTGGATCACGAGGCCAAGAGATCGAGACCATCCTGGTCAACATGGTGAAACCCCATCTCTACTAAAAATACTAAAAATTAGCTGGGCGTGGTGGCGCGTGCCTGTAATCCCAGCTACTCAGGAGGCTGAGGCAGAATTGCCCGAACCCAGGAGACGGAGGTTGCGGTGAGCCGAGATCGCGCCATTGCACTCCAGCCTGGGTAACAAGAGCGAAACTCTGTCCCAAAAAAAAAAAAGAAAAAAAAAGAATTATTAGCACCCTGATCTTGGTTTCTAAATACTGCTTTCTAAAAATAGGACCAAAACGCCTTAGAGAATTTGGCGACTCTAGGATCCGGGCGCAGAAAGCTAGAGGCTAGAGGTGCTCAAAAAACAGGACGGGGCGTCCAAGCGCGCAGGGACCTACCCAGAGAGCGCCTGGGGCCACGCCGGGGACCATTTGAGCAGCAAAATAAAGTACCTTGCATTAAGTTGTAACCTAGAATATGAATCATCCCAGAGCCCGTGCTGATACAAACACATGATTAAATAAGTGAGGGAGAAGGGATAATCTTCCTTGCAGAGGAATTCTAATAATACCTCACCCAGAGGGGTGTGGTAATCCGCCCTCGACCCCGAGTGTGGCCTGCACCTGGGGACGCCCTTTCCAAGAGTGCAGTGTGGAAGGAGAGCTGTAATTTCACAGCGGAAGCACCTGACAAGTGACCAATATGAAAATCAAAGTGATTAGTCACTCCGTTTGCCCTTGACATGATGTGATGAAAAAACCGTGACCTCAGTCCGACTGAAAGATAAATATCAGACAAATCTCATTTGTGAGCTCTTCCTCAAAACACCTCACCAGTACTCCTCAAACTATCAAGGTATTCCAAAGCAAGAAAAAAAACCGAGAAACTGTCATATGCAACATGGTGATGTAGACAGGTTATAAACTTCAAATGAAAGTTCAAGTTTAGGTAATAGCAGTTTTTAGTTTTGACAAATGTGTAATGGTTATGTAACATGTTAACAGTAGGTGAGATTGTGTGAAGGGTATACTATCTTTGTAACTTTTTTGTAAGTCCAAATTATTCCAAATGAAAAGTTGGGCGTTTTGTTTTGTTTTGTTTTTAAGACAATAGAGGGAGAAAAATTGTTGGCCAGGTGAAGTGGCTCATGCCTGTAATCTCAGAGCTTTGGGAGGAAGAGGCAGGAGGATATAATCAAGCCACTGCATTCCAACCTAGCAGAGGTTGGCGGGCAGTGCAGAGGTACTGCACGAAAAGAGGCTTGAGAGAGCCTCCTGGCAATCCCACTCCTAGGGTGCCCAAATGTTCTATACATTGATCTGAACGGTGGAAACATGTGTGTAAGTAAAAATTTATCAAGCTGAGCGCTACACTTAAGATTTGCTCATTTTTCTGTATATAAATTATATCTAAATTTAAAAGGGAAAAAACTTTAAAAAAAAAAAAAAAAAAAAAAACACTTTGGAAGAGCCCTATTGTTATTGGTCTTCAAAACCCCAAACTCTGCCAATCAGGGCCCAGTCTTAATCCAGCTGCTCTCTGGGGGTTGGGGGCGGGGGTGGGAAATGCAGGGTAGGGAGTCCTACAACACCTGCAATCCCATCTTTTGTGAGATATTGTGGCTTAGTCAACACAAGAGTTCAGAGATTGGTGTCACACAGAGTTCTTCCTGGTTCTACTGCTCCTGGATGAGCTTGGGTAAATTGTTTAACATCACCAAGCTTCTTGACCAGCCTTCATTAAAGATATACTAGGTCTGACCACCTTCAGGGTCAGTCTTAGGGATCTTTCGGGATTTGAGTTTGAAGTATACAAAAATACACTAACATGCTCTCTAAGCGATGGGACTGTGGATATTTCTTTTTTCTACTTTTCTGCATTTTCCAAACTTTCTTTCATGAGTATGTATCACTTCAACAACAAGAAAGAGTAATATTTGAGACTTTGGTGTGATGGCTCACACCTATAATCCCAGCACTTTGGGAGGCCAAGGCAGGAGAATCACTTGAGCCCAAGAGTTCAAGGCCAGCCTGGGCAACAGAGTGGGACACTTTCTCTACAAAAAATAAAAATTAAAAAAATTAGCCTGGCATGGTGCCATGTGTCTGTAGTCCCCCAGCTACCTGAGAGGCTGAGAGGGAAGTTTTACTGGAACCTGGGAGGTCAAAGGTACAGTGACCCATGATTGTGTCACTGCACTCCAGCTTGGGCGAAAGAATGAGACCGTGTCTTAAAAAAAAAAAAAAAAAAAAAAAAAAAAAAAAAAAAAAAAGAAGGAAAAAAGTAATATTTTGATTTTAATCAAGTTCAGTTTAAGTAGGTGTTCCAGGAGCTGGAAGAAGGAATATCCCTTAGTAAGTTTTCTGATTCAGTAAAACTGGCTTTCCGTTCACGTTTATTGAGAAGAGTCAAGGCAGAAGAAGGCTGGCTGCAGGTGAGGACACCTGCGTTCCTGCCCTCCATCTGCCTCTCCTGAATGTGTGGCCTCTTGTCTGAAACTGAAAAGGGAATGCCCAGGAGTTCAAAGAGCTGCCTTGGGACTCTGCACTCATCAGTCACCTGCCTCTGTGGGCCTCAACTGGCTCAAACCAAATTACCTACCCCACTCCCTTTTCTACCCAATTACTAGTATGAATTTCTTTATTGAAGAAAATAAAGTGAGAAGTTCTGGTAGTTAAAAAAGAAATTCCAGGCCAGGCACAGTAGCTCACACCTGAAATCCCAACATTTGGAAGGCCGAGGAAGGAGGATCACTTGAGTTCAGAAGTTGGAGACCAACCTGGGCAACACAGTAAAACAAAATATACAAAAATATAAGTAAATTTTAAAAAAGAAACTCCAAATAGAACATGAATTAAAATGCCACATCTCACCTGCCACATCCCACATAATTGGGAATGGTGAGCTTCCAAGGAATGGGAGACAACGGGCGCTCTTCCTTTACTTTTTCTAAGCGAATTGTAGCTGCTCATATTCTCTTCTTTACTCAATTTCATTTTCGTTTCTTCTGGAATAGCTCAAGAAATTTTTTGTATGTATGAAAATAGCCAAGGTGGCACTTAGGGTGGAACAGTGGCACTTCAGCTGCCCCACAATCTTTACCAACACCAGGTCCATCCCAAACAGGTACACAGCACTGTCTTGAACAGCAGGGGCCAGCAAAACAGAGTGCCGCCCAGGAGCCCTTCCAACCTGCTGGATGCACCTTTGCTCCTCCTATATAGAAATTCTGGAACTACCATTTGGGGTGGGAAACAGTGAGTTTTTGCATGTCTAAATTTTACTTCATTTTGCCCTCAACATCTGCTAAGAAGCCATTGCTTTCTTCAGATAGTGGAATCCATTTCTTTTTCTTTTCTTTTCTTTTTTCTTTTCCTTCCCTCCCTTCCTCCCTCCCTCCCTCCCTCCTTTCTTTTTCTTTCTTTCTCTCTCTCTCTCTCTCTTTCTTTCTTATGTTTTTTGAGATGGAGTTTTGCTCTCATTGCCCAGGCTGGCGCGATCTTGGCTCACTGCAACCTCCTCCTGAGTTCAAAAGATTCTCCCGCCTCAGCCTCCTGAGTAGCTGGGGTTACAGGCATGTGCCACCACACCACGCTAATTTTGTGTTTTTAGTAGAGACGGGGTTTCTCCATGTTGGTCAGGCTGGTCTCGATCTCCTGACCTCAGTTGGGTGATCCGCCCACCTCAGCCTCCCAAAGTGCTGGGATTACAGGTGGTGAGCCACAGTGCCCAGCCAAAGACAGTGGAATCCATTTCTTTTGGGGACAGTAGTTGGGGTTTTGCCCACTATAAAGAGGAAGCTGCCCATGCACACAAGAATGGGGAAATGAGAAGAGGCGCAGCTGTGGTACAGGCAGCCTTGCAGCTAATGTCCCTGTTCACAAGTCTGTTTCCTTCGCTCTCCACTCTGGGTTGCAGCCTTTTCTGCCTATTTCAACCATCCACAGAAAAGTGAGTGCCCTGTCTCCTCCAGCCCCTCTGAGCCTCCGCTGCTGCTTCAGTTTGCTGTGTTGCTTATTTGCTGTTGAACATCAGTCACCTATTTCACAGGCACCTATGGAGGGACAAAATGTATTCTTGGCTTCCCATTTTGAATCCGAAGCCCTCACCCCCAAATACTTTCTGTTGTTTTTCATTTCTTGAGACAGGGTCTCAGTCTGTTACACAGGCTAGGGTGCAGTGGCACAAACACGGCTCACTGCAGCCTTGAACTCTAGGTCTCAAATGATCCTCTCACCTCAGCCTCCAGAGTAGCTGGGACTACAGGGTGTGCCACCACACCCAACTATTTTTTTTCTTTTTCTAATTTAATAAAATATAAGGTCTTACTATATTGCTCAGGCTGGTCTTGAACTCCTGGACTCAAGTGATCCGCCTGCCTAGGCCTCCCAAAGTGCTGGGATTACAGGTGTAAACCACCACACCCAGCCCTCAACTAATTTTTTTGTTTTGT